AACAAATGGTAAACACCACAGCGTACACTATTGAGTTATGGATGCACGCGGGAGGTTGCTAAGCACGAAAGAAGCGTAAGAGTCGCTCGAGGCGATAGCCGAGAGCGACTCTAGCTTCTTGAGTGCTTAGCAAACCTCCCAAGTGCATCCATAACTCAATAGTGTACGCTGTGGTGTTTACCATTTGTTTTATAACATAACATTGATACATTGTAGCTAAAGAGTTCCCTTTTATTTAACAAATCTTACGCGACCAGAAAAAACAAGCGCGCGCGGAAAAATAGTCTTTGCATTTGCTCACGTCAGCAGCGTACACCCATGGGCAAATGGGGGACGCTAAATTGACCAATCAGAGCGCGCGCTTTACTTTGGTTATGTTATAATAAGGATTGCGTTATTCTGCGGTTTGACTAGATGATCTTGTTGTGTGACGGAGAAACTGCACGGTGTCACTGAGGCAATAACAATGCATCAGTATCAAGAGCGTCGCGTATTCGAGGTGCAAAAGCGGTCACTTGCTTAACCTTTTAACTTCCACAAGTGATTAATATGTAACTTCTCCCTACAATATCCATATATCATCCAGCAAACAGGGGATGAGAATACTGAAACTTATCGGGTTGAAGTTTTATCTTGATCTAACATTAAATTCTCGTAACTGATTAGAAAGAAAATGTTTAGCAGCTAGTGGGGAGAATTAACAGTCAGATCTTCAAGATAAAAGGGTTAAACCTCCCACAGAATTATAAAAATTACGTCCTTCATTGGAGAGAAGTGAATCAACTTTACCTCTTGAGTTTCTTCTGCATTTTGCAATTCACTTCGTAGCTTCTTATTGTGGCTTTCAAGGGTTATATTTTCCTCTGACAAAGCTGTCAACTGGTTCGTTAAATCCTACGTAAAAAATCAATGCTTTCAGCTCAAACTCACGCACGATTTACTGTCGTTAGTTAGGCCATGGACAATATTTCTACCTTGTGGTTTTCCTCAGCTTTAGTAGTCAGCTTCTCTTCCGCAACAGTGATTCTCTCCTCCAGTGCTTCTTTTTCCTTCGATGCAGTGGCAAGTTTTTCTGTTAAATCCTACAACCAAACATAAACAAATCTCAGTAATTTGGTTATATCAACCAAGTTGAAATTGTAAATTGGCCACCGTAACGAATAAAAAAGCTGACGTTTCGAGCGTTAGCCCTTCGTCAGAGCGAATGGAGGAATTGTGGGTTGTATGTGGGTTTATATGCAGAAAGCGGGGCTACGCCATTGGTGAGAACATAGCGACGAGAAAACACGAATAAATTAGTGGAAGGAAAAGCGTTCGTTGATACCTGTGGGATTAAGAGTGCTGATTTGAAAGATAAACTTTTGTTCAAGAGTTTTGCGGCTTTCCGTGTTGCCTAAATGTAAGGAAAGACCGCAGTCAGTCTGAAGGCAGTAATTCCTTTTTACGTTCAGTGCATAAATTAATTTTAACTGATTAAAATGGAGTGAATAAGTGAGTGAATGAGTTTTAGGTCCTTACCATGAGGTAAAAAGTACTCTTTAAAAGACGTCTAAAACCCTGATCCGTGCATTAATTATCATTGGCTGCTACTTGGTTTTACATTCCCGCGCAAGTGATAACCAATCACAGACCTCACACAGCTCCTGTGAAGCTAGGTCATTCTGAGATGTCTCCGTACAAGACGCCTGAAGATAGAATTCCGTATTCGCAAATCTTACCTTCATTTTCTGTTCATACGCTTGAACTTTCTCGTCAAAGGTTTCAGAAACGCTTTCACTAGCAGTCGCCTCTTCTTGGAAGGCGGCGAGCTTCATATCAAGTTCCTGAATCATAACGGACAGAAAATAGATTATCCAAATGGATGAAAGAAAGCCAATTTTTTTTCTACCCACATTGCCATGAACGCCTATGGAACCTAATCATGTATGACACCGCGCCATGGCGTGAAAAGATCAGAAACGACACTACGGCACTAAGAATATTCCATCGGAAAAATGGTTGCAGGAAATACTTTCCACTCGTGAATACCGTGAAAAAGATGTCAGGCCATCGAACGTAGTGGCCGGAGAGTTCTCTGATCTCCATTAAGACCTCGTCATGGTTTGTCGTGATGAAAATTGCGTACACTAACCCAACGTTATTACACGACTCGGGCAGTCAGAGGGCCAATAACTAAAATCAACCAATCAAAATGCTCTATTGCCGGTCAATATTCTCTCAGTATTGGACCGTGCACTGTCCCGAATGGTCCCGAATGATACCGCACTTGTGTCCCTTTGAACTTCAGTCGTATAATAAATCTCTTATTAACCACGCTTGCTTGGGACCGTACTGGAAGAATATCGGCCCTCGGTCTTTTTTGTACGGACTTCGCTGCGCTCGGTCCGTACTGTCAAGACCTCGGGCCGATATTCTCCCGGTACGGCCCTTGCGCTTGGTTAATAAGATATATATATCTGTCAAAAATTACTAGACCTACCCAACAACACTATTAACCCTCAACACGCTGACATCAGTATGCATTTTCTCCATACTGTTCTCTATACATTTCCCAAGGTGCTGACAAGGAGAATTTGTTTGACAATCAGGAGACTCCTAAATTAGTGATCATTTCTGTTATTCTTATGACCTTTACATTTGATAAAGGGGTGATACTGTAAGGAAAAACTAGACACCAGTCCCTCTCATCGGTTAAACGGTTACTAGCTAATTGCAGAACAAAATCGTTTCAGGCATTCAGTTGACCATACAAACTCTATACTGTTGGACACCTCTAGTATAAAATTTCTTCGCAAAAACCCTAAAAAACAGGCTTCCCAGGCTGAGAGAAAAGACAGATGACGCTCTTTGTCGACCAAAGCAAGAAACTGCTTGTTGTCACTTCTAACACTTAATCTTTTGATTAAGACATTTAAGTCTCCTAACCATTTCTATTCATCGCCCGCCAAACATCTAATGAGAAAACACAATCAAAAAAACTTGATCAAATTCTCTCAACTGATTAGTATGAAAATGTATGACAGCTAGAAAGGAGAATTGCCACTCTCATCGTGACAGTCAAATGGTTAAGATGAAGAAACGATTTGGTCATACTGACCTGTTTTTCTTGAAGTGCTGTGTGGAGTTCATCTTCCATCTCAGCAGTTTTATTTTGTATTAATCTCAATTCTTCCTCTTTCTGCAACAAGCACTGCTCCAGTTCCTGCGAGATTGTTCAGTCAGAAAAGATCAGGAAGCGTGCACTAATTATTGCGTGATTACATAGGCGAAAAGGTGACATGCAGTTCTCAAAGCTGGCCTTTCGCAACGCGTCGCAATTTTATCCAATTTTATTCTCTGTCGTTCCTTTCTTTTCAAGTTTCTTTGAAATCCAAGGAAGTTGCAATATACAGAGACATTTCTTTCAATCACGTTCACTAAGCACTATTCCTACAGTTGTGATTAGAAATGATGTGTTGACTTGCGGTTAATTCTCTCTGTGGTTTATGGCTATGCAAATGGCCACCTCATTTCCCGAAGAATAAAACATCACAGTTAGCCTGACACGTCGTCTGCAAAATTCCTTCGTCGAGAGTGGCTTTGTTTGTGCCCATAGCGTGGCCAGTATGAATTGTTTCCCAAAGACTACTGTTTGAATTTCATCGCGACCACAAATCACTTTCAAGTCAAAGTAACACTGAGCGTCCAAGTACAAAGGAGAAGCACACGGCCAGCAACGTGTTTCCGTGCACGTTCAGTTGCCATAGAATCGAACAGTCCAGAGACTAATAAAAATGTTTTTAAAATGCTGTGTTATTTATAAGTCAAGTGGTCTACAACTCTGGTTCTTCAAAACTAATTGGTCAATTGACCACAGCTCTCATCCGGAGAACCAGATCACATGATCAAGTTCAACTCCCACTCTTGGGTTAAAACTGTATATTACAACAATTTTTTTTTGTTGTCGTTTTTATCACGTTCGTGGCGAATCAATCAACATTATGCATTAGCGGCTATTTTTCTCTTTTCCTTCACTTTCTACCTGATAATATCTCTGCTGTAATCAAAGGTGAAAAACACAAGGCACGCTATGACAGTTTACCAGGATTTGGTCAAGGGGCGTTCGGAGAATTGTCCCCCTTCTAGAGGGATCCGAGGGCATGCTCCCTTCGGGAGATTTCGAAAACTAGGTCTTCAGAAACAGGATTTTCCTTCCCTTTCTACCTTATAAAATCTCTGCTGGAATCAAAGGTGAAAAAATAAAAGCGACGCTAACATCGTTTACCTTGTTCATGTTCTCTCCGTTTCTCGTCATTTCCTCCAAAGACAAAATCTTACTTTGTAAATGTTCTTGATTCTGACAGCTTTCCTGCAGACTTCTGCATTGTTCCTAGTCGCAGAAGATATGTTCATGTGTTCATGTAATTCAAAGAATGCTAACATTAACCCAAGAAATGTTTCGATTGGAAAGGGTCACTCCTCCATCCCCAACCCCCTCCCTCTTCAGTTTTTCACTGTCACTCCCCCACTTGGTACAAATTTCTTTCTCTCCACAGCCTTCCGTTTCCGTTCAGTAAAATCAAAAGATGACGGCCATAATTTTCGCTAAGAAAATACTGAGCACCCGCTCGCCATATTTACGCATGCTCTGCAGGTTATCTGCTACTTTCTTTTATTCTGCTTTGCCGTGAATGGCACGTAGAAAAATTGCAGACAGTGGTTCGCAAAGGTAAAAGCTGGATCAGTTACGAGCGCGCGATTAGCCAATGAGATTCTAGGAAACTCACTTGATATTTGCTCTCCGTATCATGGAGCATTTTCTCCAAGCTCTGCACCATGCCTTGCAGCTGGCTATCCTCTGACGAGGAACTCTTAATCTGCTCCCAAAGTTCCTGAAAAATTAAATGAAGAGAAAAGGAATGAATAGTTAAATAAATACTCACAAAAACTCGCACCTGCGCCTAACAGGCAGCACGCGCCAACGATAACTCCGCAATGTTATAGTATTCTGTACCTTAACATTTTCTGTATTAGTCTAAAACTCAGCCAGAATTAATAAGAATCATCATTTCAAGCTTTAATGGCGTTATACTACACTAGAGAAGTGCTCAATGCGATTTCGAGTTGCATTGCCAAGAAGCCGCTTCATCTTGAGTAATGGGGCAGACTGACCGAGTTGCAAATTTCGCAACGGAATCCAACACGCCGAGGTCGTCGAGGAGGACAACGCAAACTGAAGCCAATTGAGGTCTGTATGGGTAGAGGGGTTCGGAAGAGCAAGCACCTTTCGCAGTTAAATGGCTTCAAGAACTCAGAACTTCGAGAAGAAGATGATTTGCATGATACAATCTTGCTGTTATTAAATATTCTTTTTTATAATTGCGTAATTCAGCCTTTGGCTGCGATGCAGTTTTAATAAACTATCTATCTTTATCTAATACATATAGCCCTGTCAGAGGAGAATTGGTCGTCTGACTCTAAAAAAAACCCGTACTCTCACAAACAAAAACGGTAATATCATATTTGATTTGTCAAAAAGGTTCCGTATTCTTTCTAATGCATTCTGAAATGTTCCAGTGCATCGAAAAATAGTATACTCTACAGTTTCAACGTTTCTTACAAATCTTAAATATAGAGTACGTTTTGATAGCAGTAAACACCAGGGGAATTTTTTCTAACGTTAACTGAGCGAAAATGCTTGCAAGCTCGTTGTCATCAAAAAAATTATCGGCATTACAAGTTGCTTAGTTCAAAATGTTACTTCTCCTGAATGACTCCGCGCATTTCTTGTAATGCACATGTGAGAATTAATAATTAGCAAACGCACTATGCTGACCTTGGAATTCGTCTACGCCTCAAGTCAAATGGAAAATGTATCAACATTGTACTGAAAGCGAGGCAAAATTATTTCAGTTCTTATTATGGAATTTTTTATTAAGACAAACCTGCTTTTCTTTTTCTGAGGTTTGCAAGGACTCCCTCAACATAGCCATTTCATTTTCGATTCCACTTTTTTCCTCTGAAAGCGAATTCAATCTGTCTTGCAACATGTTTCGATCATTTTCAGCGGATGAAATTTTCTCTTCCAAAACTGAAAGGTTACTGAGTAGATCTTTCTTTTCCTGCTCAGCTCTCTCCAGTCTGTTGTTCAACTCCTGGAAGGGAAAAAAAAAAAAATCAAGCTAAGAAAGATGAAAAGAGCCTCCCTAAAATTTGGCAACTAACATGGCGCAGAAGCGAGGGCCCTTGGGTTCGATTGACAAGCCGGGTAACACATGTTAGTTAAGTTTTTTGTTGGCTCTCGCTTTCGGATTCACGTTCTTTTTTTTTCTCCATGTTCCTGTTCTCCACCCTCCATTTGAACAAAAACTAAAAATCCCAATTCGATCTGGAAATGACGGAGAAAGAGACACCAGGAGGGAGCTTAACTGTTTTAGCTGATTTATTTTATGACGTTACAAAAACTAAAAAAGGTGTATAGCCAGTCCGTTTCAAGCCTACAGTAGAAGCATCGATTTTCCGGGACAAAATTTGGGCACAATGCCTTTGTGGCGCTTTCCGATTGAGTGTTGTAAAATCCAGAATGAAAGTAATCACTATGACCAATCAGAAGAAAGAAAAACGTGACATCAGCAGGAGCCAATCAGATCTCAAAGGAAAGGCATTCAACCGCCCTAGAGCGCGGGAAAAACGTGAGTGAATAAGTCGCGACTTAGATTTGCAGCTGATTGGCTAACAAAGCGGGGCGAGTCAGAAAAAAGAGAAGTGCAATCGCAATCACTTTCGACACTACGTTGACAGCTACTCTTCTTCGGCGCCCGTCTGTCTAAGCTAACTATCTTTTAAAAGTTCAAGTTCGCTTACAAGGGCAAGATGTTTTCTATTTTCACCACTACCCAAAGGACTCCAATTTAATACTCCCAAACCTGCTTTTGTGTTTCTGAGGATTCCATCAGGGATGACAGCTTGTTTTCGATTTCAGCTTTTTCCCCTAAGGTCGCCTCTACTTTGTCTTGGCATATTTTCCTTTCGTTGTCAGCGAAGGAAATATTTTCCTCCAAACTTAGAAGTCTAGTCCGCAAATTATTCTTTTCTTGAGTGGCATTATTCAATCCGCAGAACAATTCCTGTCATGGGAAAGAGAGAAAAATATTATAAAACAGGTCTCAGTGTCATAAGGCGGGAAGAAAGCTTGTCACACTTCGCAAATTTTCTGGACCAATCACAACTTGAAAATAAAGCACAGCAAAACCAAAACAATCCCAGATTATTCTCCACAACTAATCGAAAACTGTACCAAACATCATCAGAACATAACCAAAGCAAGCGCGCGCTCTTATTAGTCAATTCAGGGTCCACCATTTGCCCATGGGTGTGGGCTGCTGACGTTAGCAAATGCAAAGACTAGTTTCCTCGCGCTTGTTTTTTCTGGTCACGTAAGATTTCAGTGTTAAATATAAGGGAACTCTTTTGCTAGAGTGTATCAATGTTTTGTTATATAACAAATGGTAAACACCACAGCGTACACTACTGAGTCATGGATGCACTTGGGAGGATGCTTAGCACTCAAGAAGCTAGAGTCGCTCTCGGCTATCGCCTCGCACGACTCTTACGCTTCTTTCGTGTTTAGTAACCTCTCGCGTGCATCCATAGAGTACGCTTTCGTGTTTACCATTTGTTAATTACATGAATGCAAGATGACGGCACACAGTCTGCAAATAAGACTTCCCCTGTTTTCAGTCGAGTATCGAAAGTGATCCTGAGTTGCTCTGGTTTTGCTTTACTTTGCTCTGTAAATGTTCAAGAAAACCCACACATCCCTCAAAAAATAAAATGCTGATAAAAACCAATCGCGACTATCTCTCGCGTCTCCCCGCGTTAGTGCCCGTTCGCATGTCAACGTCAGTATTAGTTTTAGTTCTCATGGGTTCCTAGTGCAATTGACCTCTAAATGACAGTTGTAATTGCTTTCGTTTTGGTTCTATGACATGAAGTCAAAACGTGCCCTAAAAAAGAAACATTCACTGAACGTAAGGGGCGACAGAGAAGATGGCACCTAATATTCCGATCACACCGCTGTCAGCTGGAAGGGGCAACGCACAGGCTTAGCACATGGCCCTTAATCTCGCAAAAACCCTAGAATTGGATTTTTCAAGCTCCTTAATTCAAATACAACCATAAAATGAGAACTCTAAAGCGAAGATATAGAGTCTGGATCCTCAAAAATTCCTAACAAACCTCCTTTTCCTTCAGCTCGACTTGAAGGTTCTCTTTCAACTGTGACAATTCACTCTTCACCGACTCCATCTCTTCTTTAGTGTCAGTAACTTCCTTGTTAAGTGCAGCGTTCCCATCCTCCACCTCTTTTAGATGATTTTCGAACGATTCCGCTTTGATCTTATGCTCATCTCTCTCCTGAGACACATTCTTTAACTGTTCTTGCAGATCCTTAAAAATGTACATAAATTCTTGATGTAATTCCAATAATAAGAATTATCTCGGTCAGTGGTAAATTTACCAGACGTGTTTCAAAATGAAAAGCAACGTGGTGATTTTAAGGTTGGAGCGCCGAACTTTGGGTCAAGAGTTCATGAATTCGGGTATTGGTAAAGGAAAGAACCAGATAAAATGATGGGGGAATGGAGGGAAAGCCTGCGATGATCTAACATCCAATCTGGCGAAGTAATAACACTCCTTAATAGCTTCATGCTAAGGCAATCTCGACAAGTTCCAAAAGATTTTCCCTCTTCCAATAATTCCTTACTTGGTACTGCTGTGACATCAGATTGTGCTGCTCTTTAGCGCTGTCCAATGCCTTACGTAGCTTTTCCTTTTCTGCGATGAGTTTCTCTGTCTTCTTCACATTTTCCTTCACAAATAAACAAATGAGCTAACTTTAGAGGGAACGAGGTATTTATACCACATATTCCCAATAGGGTGGTTTTAGCCGTAGATAAAAGCCTGTGTATGTAGCAGTTCATCGTTTGCACCCTGACAAAGAAAATCCATCTTCTCCACACTATTCTCTTACTTTTCATGCGACGCTGACATGGAGAATTCGTTTACCTATCAAGACTTTCTCTCGGCTAGAGATCCTTTTTCTTTACTCTCATAACACGAATGTTTAAATCAGAAGAGACAAACTAACGAAATAATGGATACCAATCACTCTAAGGGACTTAAGAGTTAACTAGCCAATGAGCAGGGCCTTATTGTTAGTGCTTCGGCGCGAGCGTTTCCTCGCTCGGGGAGAAATGTGATGCCTTGAACAACGCGAGTCGGTGAAAGATCTGCAAGGGGTCAAGTACTGAACGAGTAGGCTCTTTGGGAAACGCACGCCCTGGGCACAGCGGCGAAATGAGTGCGCATGCTTGCAACACAAGAAATTTTACAAGCAAAGGAATGGGAACTACAATATTTCCATCATGAGCTTATGTTTGCAGAAGAAGAATCGTAACCCTGAAAGCTCAAATGGCTCGAGTAGCGGAGCATGCGCACTCATTTTGCCGCTGGGTCCACACCCTGTAGGCCAAGGGTTAACCAATCAAAAGTGCTCAGACAATTGGGAAAGCACAGCCTAAGACGCTTGTGTGCGAACTTTTACCAGCTCACATGGTTTACTTACCTTAGTACCTTTACCACAAGAGGTAAAATGTTCCTCCCACTGCTTTTTTATCGCATCATACGCACTCTGTACTTTGTTTCTTTCACTCTGTGCAAACTGCAGTTGTTTCTGTCCATCCTTAAAAAGAGTTTTATGAAGAAATACTATTTTTTTAAAAGATGTTGCACAAGTGAGCAAAACCGCTCCATCAGCTATGACACAATTTTTATAAAACCTCAGATCACCTCTTACAAAAAGGGAAAATCCCTTATTTAATCCACGCTTGTGAGATCAAAATTAAAATTTAAAGGCGATAATGCGACGCGACCACAAAAACTACATGGGAAGTCCGTGCCGGTCTGCCTTTACTTCTATTCTCATGCGAAAACCACGAGGAGGCTTGATTACTAAGTTGAGCCTGGTTTCTAAGCTCCTTAAGAAAGCGATCCCAAGAAAAAACCTCTGACTTTAATATCAACATACTTTCTTTTCGTCCTGCTCTGTTTTGAGATCCTTTTCTTTTTTCTTCAGCTCCAACTTAAGTTTTTTCTCCAGTTCAACAGCTGTTTCAACTTGTTTCTTGAGCTCCTGAAACACGCGAGTAGGTAACACTTGACTTGTCAAACCCTTGAACTAAAACTGTTATTCCTCGACGTTGTTCTCCAAAAACAGAACAGTCCTGGGTTACTTTCGACATTCAATTGAAAATGTATCTTGAAGCATACCTGGTTTGCAAGGAAATTAACTTTAACTTCTTCCTTCAAGTCCTGGATTAGGTTGCCTCTCTTGGAATTCTCCGCAACAGTTGCATCAAACTTTTCCCTCAAATCAGTGAGCGTTTTCACTAACTTCTTCTTTTCCGCTGTTAGCTCCTTTATTTGTTTGGTAAGCTGTAAAAAGAAACAAATTATCAACTTTTGCGATGACGTACTATTTGTCATTTTTCCTATCAAATAAACAAGAAATACATTAGCGAGAAGTGAGAATTTTTTCAAATTTTTTTATTTGAGTTTTAATCATTTCCACTGAAAACAGTCTTTTTCAGAACTACTCTATTGCGGACGACCAGAATACACAATCAGAAAAAAAACGAAAAAAAAATTGGCATTACCCCCTTACTTACATCACCCCTCCGGCATTTCATGTTTATACAATACCGTACCTTTGCCAGTTCGTCACTTGGCTGTTCTTTCGAATCTTCTGAAGTGCTCTGAGTATTTTCCGTTGCAATGCTTTGTGGACTCTCAAAAGCTGAAGTTAGATCCTCGAGTTGGCGTTGTAGCCCCTTAGTAACCAAAAATAAAATTCCTTAGAGCATAACTTCTAACACAGTTATCTGAAGAGATGTGATTCGGTTTCTTAAATTTTAAATTCATTTTATTATTGAACAGCAAGTAAGGGGGCCCATTCAGTGTTACTCAGTAAAACTTCCTATGTAGCAAGTCCATAACTCCTTACAAAAGGAAAGACATATGCTTTTCTACATGCCATGATGAACTCGACTTATGGCAAGGAAGAGAAATGTTTGCCATTTTTCTCCTACTATGGGTTTTTGCCCGGGGTATTAGCATTGCAGTGTTTTCCTTTTCAACGGTAACATGTACAATTCACCGCCTGCACTACCTATTATCACCACCTCAAATCGTTTGGAAGCCTTGAAAATTTAAGTGGTAAAAAGGACTGCTCTACCGGTTTGAAAATTTCATTTTCATCTACCTGTGTTGCTTAAAATAAGGAAGAAAACGTTAGGAACGCCTTGGTTTACCTGCTTTTCTTGCAACATCTTGTTGTATTCTTCTTGCAGAGACTTAAGTGACAGACTGAGTTCATCCTTCTCAAATACTACATTTTCCAACTGTTTCTTTGCAGCCTACAAAAATGTCAACGACTTTTAAAGCAATTTCAAAAGAAATTAAAGATAGCCTGACAATACCAAAGGTCAAGACCAAGACCCATCCCTTGGCATATGCCTCATAACATGAGCAACTGATTTCTAAATACAGTAAGTAACGAACATGAACGTGTACTAAAAAAATACTGACACATGCTAAAAAAAAAAATAGATCATCACATGATGATGATGATGATTATCATCATCATCATTATCATCATCATTGTCATCACCAAGGGTGTTAGGAACCGGTCATTTTTTATCGCGCAGYGGGGGGAGGATTTTGGTTGTGTCAAGATAAAATTTACCTGTTCCCCTTTAAGGCTCTGCACTTTTTTTTGAGATCTCTCTCCCCCACCCCTCTCCCCCCATTAGTACTTAATTGGCAGTAAATCTTCCACAGTCCCCGCTTAACACTCCATTCTCCCTAAAAACCATGTGATCTCCACACAATTCCTTCGTATCCCCTTCCCCTGTGTTAAATAATGACTGTTCCAACAAAGCAAGCCCACAAGACAGGCATAAATTTTCTTTCTCTTATTTTTTTTAATTTCAGGGGAACGGAGACAAGAGAGATGCAAGGAGAGCGCGTGGGTAGCACGAAGGGCACGTCACGCTCCTCACATTCACCTCACGCGTACCTACATTTCCCTGAAAAAGCAATAAAGTGACGCCCATCTTGAAGGCTAGATCAAAAGAAACCACACTTACCTCGTGATTTTCTGAAACACATCTGTATTGTTGCTGAAGACCGGTGATTGAATCTTTCAGCACTTCATTCTCAACGAAGAGTTTCTCAAATTCATCCGTCGTTTCCTTTGAATACAGATACAAACAATATTTAAAATCACACTACTGACAAAAAATTTGTAACTTGGCTGCACTTTTTGAATCATATACCTTGTTCTTCTGTTCCAGGTTCTGTAATTCTCTTCTGCTGTCATTTAAAGCTGTTTCGATGTCTTCCTTCTCGATCTTAATCACCGAAAGCGTTTTCCGCAAGTCCTTCAACAGAAAGTAAAACCATTTTTTGGTTGCATGCGTTTTGATTGGTTGTTTCATGAGATCTAATGGAGAACAGACGTGAGTATGACTTCACCATTGACTTCTTTTCTCTATAAATAATATATACCATGTTACCGTGCCCCTGTTTAGTTGAAGATCAGAGAAGACGTCAAATTGGGGTATGCACATCAGTAGCACACTTGGCCGCGCCTTGTGCGCTACTTTTATAATCTTATCACAATTTGACGTCTTCTTTGACCAACGACTGTACAGACCCACAGCGACATGGAATCTGTGCACGTATACAAAAAAAATACACCTTCACACGCAATCGAGTACATACGTGTTTTCATAATCCCTCAAATATTTTTGTTTGCGTGCAATTGGTCTAAAAGCATCACATGACCGAACATGCCACCGCAACAACTGGGAAATTTACAGTGATATACCCCAAGTGACATTCCCCAATTTTCAAACCTTACGTCCACTACGATAAAAGTCTTCGTTTAAAATCAAATTCAAGATGAGAGAGCGTCCGGCTGTTGTTACAAAAGAAGTGACGTGTTTGTTGGTTTATAAAGTCCTCGCAGCTCACAGTTTTCGCATCTCGGAACAGATAATGTCTGCAGACAAATTAACGCGCATATTTTCGCGCCAAATGAAGGCTATTTCTTAAATGTATGTAAATTCTCTTCTGCAATTACCGTTGTCATCGCCAGCTTCCTGAGGCAAAAGTTACAATCAAATTACTTTTTTTTATTTATTCATTTTTTATAAATAAAAATAAACAGTACCTTTACTGACATCTTGCTTAAGTCTTCCTGAGAGGAACTCATTTCTTTCAGTTTATTTTTCAGCCTCTATACAATTTACAGGCAATAAGACGATAAAATTAATCATTTTCATTACTCACGAGGAAGAAAGTGACAAACTCACAACGTGTTATCATATTGCAAAAAAATATAATTATCTACACCTTGTTGAGCGTGAACGCATTGTGAAGTGATTTATAAAATCAAATTCTCAATTTTTCCTCACTACTGTGAAATTCAAGTAATTGACAAATAATTTGTACACTTGATAGATTATTTGGTTTTATCAACTCGGTAAATAATGTAAATTGGCCACCGTAAAGCGCTTCTGAAGCTCACAGTTCGAGCTTCAGCCCTTCGTCAGCTGCTCTCAGTTAACATCATAATTTCAGTTGATAAAACCAAATTATCTTGAAATACCCCCACCAACGCGGCACTCCCTTGAAAACTTGATAAAAATCCGGCGTTAGAGTGCCAAGCCACGATTATTGAAACACTTTCCCCTTATCCTTTTTTCATTGTTGTTAAGATGGTAATGGGAAAACATAAAAAATGTCAACACTGAGAGAGAACCAGGGTGTGTTAACAAATATAGTTAAGGGGTGTACGTACACACCAGACAAGCGTTCTGCATACTTCAATGATTAACACGTAACTTCTCTTTGTAATATCCATACATTATCCAGCAAACAGGTGATAAGAATACTCAAACTTATCAAGTTGAAGTTGCCATCTTAATCTAACACCAAATTCTCGTAGCAAATTTACAAGGAAATGAATGTGAAGCAGCTTGTGGGGAGAATTAACAATCGGATCTTGGTAGTTAAATGGTTAAAGTTTGTCGAAGGTTACATCTCCTATGTCTTGCATCAAATTACAAAAAGGATACTTACATCATGACTAACTTTAAGTGTTTTTAGTGATTTCAAAGCTTTTTCTTTCTCTGCTTTCAACTTGTTGATCTGATCCCCAAGTTCCTAAAATTTAATCGCAGATGTCCTTAACAAGTAGAACGCAAACTTCAATTATTCTACAACTATACCTGCTACGGGGGTAAAACACACCTGAACCTAACCACTTGAGTATGAGTATCCCTTTCATTTGAAGAAAACTGACCTGTACTACCCAAATCAAGACAAATTTAAGGGGGGGGGGGGTGTGTGTGCACACCTGTCGGCTTTTCTTCCTTCTGTGTTTCTTTTTTCACCCAAAATAGGCAGGGAGGGCGGGCCCGGCCCCCCCGGCCCCTCCCCTATATCCGCCACTGACATTCCATCAAGTCTCCCCTAAATTATTTCCTGGTCAGGTGTGTATTATACTGTGAATGTGAAGTGTTCCACCAAGAAACATAACTCAACACCTCTGGCCAAGGGGCCTGTTTTCAGAAAGTTGCAGCAGTCAACGAAAAGCTGTTTTCTCGTTAACCGCGCTTACATTAAGATCAAATTGTTCTTTGTTTAAAAACCCAGCTTTGCAAAAAAAACATCGGTCACATTAAACTTTCCCATTCCTGCTTTCTTGTGAACACACCTTGACGTAAAACTTGTTCTCTTCACATTCTTTAACAGCTGTCTCTAAATTTTCCTCAATATCCTGGGAAATAAAATGCCTTTCTCAGTTTTCTACAAAAAACTTATTTTTAATCCAAAATCATTATCTTACAGCCTACGAGCAAGCGCTCATCATCAGCGTTGCGAGACAAGCGTTCCTCCACAAGGGATCTGGCACTAATAATGAGGTAATTTGGATATATCAACAAAGTTGAGATGGTAAAATGGCTACAGGGATCAACGAACGCTTTTCATTCCACTAATTTATTCTTGTTTTTCTCGTTGCCATGTTCCCACCAATAACGTAGCTCCATTTTCTGCCTTTAAAAGCACACACAACCCACAATTCCTCTATTCGCTCCGACGAAGGGCTAACTCTCGAAACGTCAGCTTTTGTAATCGTTACGGTGGCCAATTTACCATTTCAACTTTGTTGATATATCCAAATTATTTCGTTACCCCCACCGACGCAGCCCCAAACAGTTTCTTTCGAAACTATCAGCCTTTACTAATAATGAGGCACTAGGCCTCGTACTTTCCCGCGGGCGAAGAGACGCCAGCCCCGAGGCGTCAATAATGAAGGCTTGCTCGCAAGCTATGTGAAATTGATTGGGACCACACCAGAAAACTTTACTGGGTTATTATCTATAGTTATTACCACGAAATAATTCCTTTCCTTTCTATTAGTCACGTTATATTTTGTTAACAAAATTGTAAAAATATGAACAACAACTTCATTACCATTCTCTTATACCGAAAACCGCCGCTTATAAACCCCCCGCCCCTCATTCCCCCCTTCCTCTCACTAATAAGTCCCCCGGTGATTCCCCATTTCAAAAACGAGTAGGGAAGTGGGTCGAGTTCGCCGCGCAAGTTAATCTGGGATCGTTACTCGGGACACAAATCTAAAGTAAATAAAGATTTGTGTCCCGAGTAACGATCCCAGACAAACTTGCGCGGCAAGCTCGACCCACCCCCCACTCGTTTTTGAAATGGGGAATTAGCCCATCCACCTGTAAACAAAAAAGGACATCCGATTATATGCCCCCCAGCTATAAGCCCCTCTCTACGTTTCTTGTTTTGAGAGATAAGAACTCTACTACTTCATACAGAAAATTTGAGAAAAATGTTTGCGGAACAAAAAAGTTTATTACATCTTTTTAATCAACAAAGGTGAACTTCTGTTTTGTTATGTTCCAGTTTTCTTCGTGTTGTTAGTTTCAGTTCTGTTCCAAATGTACTAAAATGAATTCAAGCTTAATCAAAAACTAGTAAATGTAAAAACTAAATTTGATCAGCACTTCTATGGTGGGTTTCGAAGCACTTTTTCAATTCCAGTTACAAGCCCCTTCGGATATACCCCCGGTAAGCCCCTCCGCTCACAGGCCCTCCTAAAACCCCTTACGAACTTGTATAAGCCCGGGGCTTATAAGCGTCAATTTACGGTATAGTTAAATATAAGAGAATCTACCATTAGTAATAAACATCTAGGGAAAAAATGAGTTGACTGACTAAATTAGAAACTGTTAAGAGTGTTAAAAGATTGAAAGTGTTATGCATTATGTTAGATCTATGAAGCCGTAGACCTATATTAAGAGCACCATGTACGCAAAAGAGGCTATACCACTAATATAGCAATATCTCTGTTATTTATGTAAAGTGTGACTTTGTAAATTTTCAACCATGCAATACAGATGTAAGGCAAGTTAAGCAGCTGTGGATAATTGGAGAGACTATGGTTTTTGAAATTCAACAGTCTAGTCCAAATTTTCACAGCAAAAGTGAGGGTTCAAAGAAGGAATGAACTGGCAAGCCATTATTTTGGCCGCACTAAAAGTACTTCACAGGCAGTTAGCAATAACCAATTAGCTAACAGCTCAAGCTAACTGTCAATGTTTTAAATGTGAGGTTCACAATACAAATCTCTAGCCTCAGCTGCCAAACATGCCCTTACCATCCCTTAACAAGAAACTCAGACAGCTGCATACCCTAGCAGCAACCTCCCGACCCTCATACTCTGTACGCATGGTAACCAGTGCGTTCCTAAGGTGCTCCACTTCTATTCTAGAAAGTTCCAGATCGCTTCTCAGCAACTAGAGCAATTTAAAGGTAATACAAGTCAAAAGAACATGGCATCAAGAAGGATGAGCTTAAATAAAAGAATTGTAAAAGGTTCAATAACACAAACTTTAACATCACATCTCTCAGTTACCACGTGTGCTATATACAGGGCTCGACACTAACGGTAACCAACCAGCCACAGACTAGTAGACGTTCAGTTTTGGCTAGAGGTTCTCGAATTCCACTGGCCAGTTTGGCTAGTAAACAAACTGAAATTGTCGTAACATCTAAGTTGTCACCAGCCACTTGGCTATTAAGTTGAAAATGTAGTGTCGAGCACTGCGATGACTGGTCAATTTAGTGAACCATGAGCCATGTAATTCAATACATGGCCCACTAAAAGCAGAAGTTAGTTTCAAGTGAAATCTTCTCCCTCTATTTGAGCCCAAAGATACGATATTGTTACAGAACCTTGTTTTCCCTCTTGGATTAGTTTATGGCCTCAAGCGCTTCACGTTTTGGCCTTAACCCTTCAAGTCCAAGGACTGATTAACAGGTAACTTCTCCCTATAATATCCATACATTATCCAGCAAAAAGGTAATGAGAATACTCAAATGCATCAGGTAGAAGTTGTCCTGTTGATATAACACCAAATTATTGTAAGTAATTTACAAGGAACTGTGTGGCAGCAAGAGGGGAGAATTAACAATCAGATCTTGTGAGTTACAGGGTTAAATCCGAGCCGCAAAAACCGAGTTTGAGGTCTGTTCTGTGAGTTACAGACCTCAAACTTGGTTACTCAGAGGTAACAGGGTCCATAAACTGACAATGCGTCAATTAATTTAAAATGAATGCAGAGGTTTAATTCAAGTCCCAGGGTCTTTATCCAAACCCTAACCCTCTTTCTACACACTACCAGGAAGTTTCCCCACAATTACTGTAGGAAATGCACTGACCTACAAACGACTGCTTTCCCAAGTAACACTCCTTTAACTCTTTATTCACTACAGCCAGCACCATTAGTTTATGCCAAATGACAAATAAAGGGTTGCACAGAAGAGAAAAAGTGGTATGTGACTTTTGATGCAAGGCCAATGTTGAAAAGGGAAAATAAGACAATGTGGACATTTATCCCCAGTCAATGGAGACTTTTTTCCATGCCCCCATTGCTAAACCCACAGAGAAGCTGGAGCAAGATGTAGTACCAAGGAAGCAGGTGAGAAGGTGTTGTTAGGCCCTGATCCTTGTATTGCATGAAAAACTAACAAGAAAACACCATGGACAATGACATCTAACCTCATTCTTGTGTTTAAGGTCTTCACTTTCCATCAAAGAATGTTCCCGCAAAACTTGACCCATACCCTCACTTCCGACACTTGCCCCTCTCTCCTGCACAAGGCAACTGAATCTGCTTTGAAGTTCACTTCTTTCTGCAACGAGTTTCTCTATTTGATCTTTCAGATCCTGCAAAAAGGTATTGAGAGACAGAACATCAACAATGAGTGACATGAACTCAGAAGAAGCATAAAGCAAGCTTTTGCTTTTATTTACATTCAATAAACACACTCATATAATGGTTACTTTTCACTTGAGAGAAGTTAACATAACTGAGGATGCAACCCACGTTTCGACAGCTTAACCCTTAAAACAGCCTAACATCAGTAGGCAAACCGCCTCCCGGTTAGCTCAATGGATAGAGCGCTGGACTGTTGTGCGGGAGGTCGAGGGTTCGAGCCCCGGCCGGACCAACACTCAAGGTCTTAAAATTATTGAGAAGAATATTATGCTACCTGTCTATAACATCAAGAAATGGTTAGATATTCTAGTCTTCTCGGATAGGGACGAATAAATGGAGGTCCCATCTCCTGCAGGATTAGGGGTAGGAAACGTTAATTTCTCACGCACGAGATTACTGTGTGATGGATGTCCTCCCCTGTGGTGGGATGGGTGGATACATATGTAGAGGGCCACAGGATCATCAGTTTAACTACTGTCACGTGCTACCCTCTTGAAATAAAGTCTACATATCACATATTCTCCATACTGTTCTTGAAACATTTCCTAAGGTGCTGACAAGGAGAATTTGTTTAACAATCATCAGCTTTTTTCATTGGTGATCATCTCCTTTATTCCCCTCACTTTAATGTTTAATTTAAGGGTGATAATGTCAGGAGAAATTACAAGCTGGTCATTCTCACGGTTTTAAGGGTCAAAGTGACCTACAGCTGTACAATGGATTGGCATCCCATCAAGGAGACACATTCCACATTGTTTCATGGTACAGAAACAAGGGAGAGCAATTGTAAAAGAAAACTGTCTAATGTGTGGGATAGTTGTTGATGATCAAGTTGTGGTTGGTTTTCACTAGTTTAGCATCTGGTTGGCTAAGAAGATGGCAGGAGCAATCTCAACGAAAAGTCAAGTAAAACCAAAGTAATTGCAAATTACTTTTGCTGCTGAATTAAAAAATTGCTCTAACATACTTGTATGTCTTGTCCTTGTCTCTCATCATGGGAATCACAGGATGACTCTACAGCTCTAATAAGCTCCTCCTTTTCTCTCATCAGCCTGTCTACTTTGGCTTGAAGCTATGATACAAATGTTGAACAAAAAATAAGAAACATTTTCTGAGCACTAAACAATGACCTATGCGAGACACAGTGGCCTGATGGTCATGGAACTGGACTCCCGGAAGAGAGGTTTTGGGTTTGAGACCTGGCTGAGTCAATGCGTTCTTGAGCAAAACATTTAACTCTCACCGTGCCCTTCTCCACCCAGGAATACACATATCTTATCAGACGTTTTGTTGTGTAGTATCGCTGAGTATTTTTACGAGTTGTGCCATATTTTGATGAGCCCATAGGGTGAGTCAAAATACAAATAACAAGTAAAAATACTCAGCGATACTACACAACAAAACGTCTAATAAGTTATTTATTATCCAACACGCCAAACTGTTATTTCAGTGCTGGCGAATTCCGCGGATGTTTATTTACGGGGAGTGCGTGACACAAGTATGCAAAGCGGAACGGAATTGGCAAGTTGTCATATTGCCATTTCTATTTTCTCCAATAAATGAAGAAATTTATTGGTTGCCTAACCGCTTTTCTTCGTTCGATTCTTGTAATAAATTTGGACCTATATTTGCCAGCCATTCCAACTCTTCGTCATCGGAAATACGATTCAAATTGTCCGCCATCTTTTTCGTAACTTCAATTCAATTCTTCGCTTGCACGATACAAGAAAAACTGTCTAACAAGTTCTCTGGAGTACAAATACCAAGTGATATTTGTACTCGTCTAGGGCGTTATTTGTACTCTACAGAGTGTAGTTGGATAATAAAAATGGGTACCAGCAGATTGTCATGAAAGCCTGATGAAATGATAGGGGGTGGCCTTGACATGGACTAGCATCCAATCCCATCCTGGGGGAAGTAGTATAATTGTGCTTTGTCATTTCATGCTACATGGAAACCACTTAAGCTCAGGTGGGGTGGGCCAATTTTACCCTCAAACAGTGACCTGTTACAAGCACTATTTAGTTATTTGATGTAGACAAGAGAGCAGTTTCATCAGCTTATGGTCACTGGAAAATTTTTTCGTGCCACCTAACTACTCTTTCTTTACTGAAAACTTCCATCAAGTTCAAAAGCGCACTCTCCAAATGTTACTTAAACCACAAATTTATTCCTTGCCTAAGCTTAGATGGGGAGCTATTCAGTTGATAAAACAAAATAATAGAAATGTGTTTATTACTACCAACTGTGTTGCACTGAAGTCTCACAGAATATATAAAAGAGTTTTTGTACAGCAGTCTCACCTCTTTTGTCATTGCAAGTGATACTGAGTCTTCACTTCTTGTGGATGCCTGGTTGTTTAGCAATTCAATCTTACCTTCCAGCTCCTACAACCACAAAATTGACAATGCACAGGTGAGAAGAAAGAGGGTTGATATGGCATGTATTTTTCTTCAAAAAGTTACATTCAAAGTTAGTGAAAGAAAGTTCCTACCTTGCAGGTTTCTAAAAGATGGCGATTGTCTTGTTCAAACTTAACTAAGGTTTCCTGTGTTTTTTCCTTCTCTTGCTGAAGTTCCTGATTAGATTTAAATAAATATATGACAGCAGAATTAGCAAAAGTTAGAAAAAAATATGTATGGGAGTCATAGTGCCCTAGAAGAAGGTGTGGTACACTCCAGATTAAATGGTTGGGGTTTAACTCTTAAACTCCTAGAAGTGATTAACATGGAACTTCTCCATACACACTTGGGCCATAAATCTGAGCAGAAAAAACTTGGTCCAAAACTTAGAGTACCAACCTCAAACTTAGTTAATAAGAGGTGTGGATTAATTACTGTTAGTTTCTATGATTTAAAAAAAGAACTTACTTGAATTTTCTCAAGCAAGGATTGATTATCTTTCTGCAATTGTTCCTGTGCTTTGTCTTCTTGAACAGCTTGTAGTTCCAAAGCATTTTTATATTCCTAAGGTTTATCAAGCATTGATCAGGGTAAGGCAATTACATGCACCATATGGCAAAAAGTTAACCATCCACAGCACAGAAAACTTGACATGACAATTGCAATTTTCCCTGATATAATATTAACAAAATTAAATTCTATGCTACACACTGTATGTAATGACTATAAATATCCCATGCTATCCTCTTTAATAAAGCTCTCCCTATTTATCAAACCGTTCATCTATTTTTGGTTGTCTGTGCTCCATTAGAATTCATGTAAAATACAATTTTGAACTTACGATGAACTTTGTAAAACAAATTACTTCAATGTAATTTTCAAAAACAAAAAATAATAAATTAAATAAATATCCTTATGATACTTATTACAGCACTATTTCATGCACAGTACATACCATTGACTGTTTAACAACACTTTGGTATTCCTCTTGTAAAACTTTAAGTGACTGCTGAAGTCCATCTCTCTCCATCACAACAGTTGACAACTCATTTTCAAGCTCCTTTAAAAATAATCAAAAATAATATGCCAAAATCTAATTGAAAAACTCTAAATAGTAAAACTGTAATTTAACCATGTCTCTTTTAACAATCAAGAAAAGCAAAATATTTATATCCTTTACTATTTTTTCAAGAAAATTATATATAATTTATTTGCTCCACTTACCATCCAACACAGAATCGTCCTCAGTTTTGAGATAATAAATTATGTTAACAATCAAGTGATTGTTATCTTACTACTAAATAAATAAAAATGTTTCATTAACCTGTTATTTGCTCTTTTACATTACGCACAATTTGGAGATATCATATTTAACGCATTTCAGAGCTCTGCCATGTCAAGACAATGTTTAATGCCAGTTACCCTGTTGAATGGTTGAAAGTGGATCTCTAAGATTTAACACAAGTGTCAATGCTACAATCCCAGACAAAACTGTTGAGACATTTCATTGCAATTTTTAATTTCCCACCATGCAACAATCGTTTCCAAAAGGAACAAACTTGCCCCCCTCCCCACCCCTGGTACAATGTTGCTGGGGCTTAACAGCTCAAGCATGCATTTCTTGTGTTACCGCAAACAACATTGCAATAGGGGAGGGGGGAAAAAATCTTTGAATTTGCAACGGTAAGCATTTTTATCAGGGTGAGTGCAAAAAATAGGTATTTTTGTAATGTGTCTCAACAGGTTTTGTCCGAGGTTGTAGCTTCAAAAAAGAATTGCTGGTAATTTCAGATCATTTTCACCTGAAAGAATAATTATTTGGATCAATGTTGGTATGTCAGCAACCATGCACCTACTTCCCCAACCAAATATTAACCCTAACTTGGTCACAGTTGATTTGTTTTTTGGGTTAGGGGAGGGGAGGGGAAAGTCCACAGTTGCTAGTTAGGGGAGGGGAAGGGAAAGTGCACAGTTTCTATTTAGGAGAGGGGAGGGGAAAGTGCACAGTTGCTAGTTAGGGGAGGGGAGGGTGCAAAGTTTAGATACTAACATTGATCAATCACCCGTTACACCTTAACATCAGCATTTACATTCTCCACACTGGTCTCTTTACAATACCTAAGGTACTGACAAGGAAAATTTATATGACAATCAGGAGCTTGTTATTAAAGTGCTACTGCGACCAAAAATGCACCTTTTCTTTTCTCCTCAGAGGTTGAAAGTACTTACCCTAAGTAACAAATTCGCCAAATCTTAAGGCAAAACTCCATCGAGAAGTAATATTATTTTCCCTGTAGATTCGCGATCTAAACGGCTGCCATTCTTCGAACTACAGAACTCCGCACGACGAAGAAGAAACTGGGTTCAGAACAAAAGTGATGCCAACGACTCAACAAACGTGGCTAATTTGGTATGCCCAGAGAGAGTTGTTTTTCTGGTTCCGCAGGAAAGAAGGAATAAAATTCGAAAGAATTGTTCCCCAGCTTTCTTTTGCGTATTTCTTGTAAAGGCATGCCTCCGCGACGTTGTCGAAGTGAGTCGATGACGTCACAACTAAAACCGCTGTAGTTATTTTTGCGGGCTCTCCAGTGTGTTATTCGAGCAATGATGGAAGAATTTTTAATGTCTTTGCGGCACTGTTTTTAAGGAATAACATTGTCAAATTTGAGAAACTTACGCTTATTCTTACAGTTTAGGGTCTAAATGTTAAGTTAACACCAGAAAATTGGGAAAATAAAATGCAAAAATTTCATCGCAGTAGCACTTCAAAGTGGTGATCATTTCCTTTACTCTTATGACCTTAACTTTTGATCAAAGGGTGATATTGAAAGGAAAAATTAGAACCCAGTCACTCCTCAGGGTTTAAGAGGTAATATGTCAAATGTTCAGGTCACTTCAAATAAGCCATGGCAGAATTTAATCTAAAGCAATCAGCTTACTTTAACTGTATTTTCATGTTCCTGCTCCAATTCATTGTACATTCCTCGCAAATCATCATTCTCCTCAAGCATCTTTTTTCCAAGTTCAGCAGCCATTTTAAGTTCTTTATTTTTCTTTAGAATCTGATTAATCCACAGATGAAAGTAATTATTAAAAAAGGGCATCAAATTTAATGCCAAGATGTTCAATGTTACCACTGTCAGTATTCAATATTTATTTCTCTTGTGGTCTTTTTAATTGACCTATTATCAGTGACAAATATAATTTATTTTAAAACAAATAAAGGCCACCTGGTGCAACTGTTTGAAAAAGTTTCAGAATTACAATATTATTATTACTATGATCATCATTATTGCAATTACTGTTATTAGAATTATTAGCATTATGATTATCATAATTTTCATTATAATTATACTGATTATTATTAAGTTTAGGGCAAATCATCTACCTGCAGCTGTAACTGGTTTTCAGCTATTGTTTAGCAAAACTGAATATTGAAGTGTCTTCAGTTTACCCAAACATTTTTAATCAGCCTAATTTTTACAGAGAGTTTCACGGTAGCTGATGGCTGTTTTGTTAATTCATATTTTTACCTCTTTAGAATTTCTTTAGAGTGATTATTTCTTTCCTGTTCACTCAAAATTCTTAAGGCAGAATATTAAACAGTGAATTGTAAAGCCATGCTCTCAGAAGCATTGTAATACTTGAGAGATTGAAAAAAAAAAAATCATTTTAAAGAACCTTGTCTTTTTTCTCAAATTCTGCATGCACCCCTCTCGATAACCACTCTCTTTTTTCATTCTCCAGTCTTTGCACCTCATTCTTCTCATCAGCTAATTGCGATGTCAACTCTACAAAAGATAGATAAACACTGTTACTTTAACGCTACCAAAACAACTTACCGAAGTTGTAGTATTTGTTTTGGTTCTTAAAAATACTACATATACACATCACTTTCAAGAACATTTTGCCTCCAGGTCAAATATTTAACAATTATTCCACGAGCGCGTGTTGGATATGAGATGATAGATAGCCAACGAGGCGCATAGCGCCT